TAGACAGTAGTGTAAACACTGTCTTTTCTCTGAAAAGGCAGTATTCACATGAACATGCCTTTAGGGACAGGGAATGGACACTAGAACAACTACATTAAGCCGTAGTTGTTCTGGTGACTATAGTGCCCCTTTAAATATATAATCTATAAATATGTAAATATATATGTACATATTTAAATATACATATGTATGTTTGTTTCCCCTCTATTAATCATGTCTCATTTGATTTGTGAATAAAATCTCTTGTTAGTGGTTGCCCCCCATCCATCAATTGTCTTTTGCCCCATCAATCATCTTTTTTTTTTTGGTGCCATGAGCAAATCCCCCAATCCCAAAGCAACTCAATATATTAAGCAAAGCCTTGTTGTTTGCTCGGTCTTATGTCCACATGGAGATAAGGAATTTGGCTAAATAATTGAGCAACCCAAATTCTCCAAATCTTAATGCAGATGAAACCAAATGCTCAAGTACAATTGCCTTTATCAATTGTCTTTTATTCTTTGATTGCTCCTAACAAGTTATTTTTTTTTAATTGTTTCAATCGGTTTTTCTATTGGATTCCACATAGGGCTTTTACCGGGCCATTTTGGCAATGTAATATGACTTTCCTGCACCCAGCAGCAATATAACAAGCAGTTGAATCCTTCTGAAATAAATAACACTTTATTAGTCTGGGAAAGATCACATGCTGAAGGTTTCCGTTTTGGCTCAAACATATGATTGATGTATTTTTGCAATTTATAGTACCACCAATCACACAGAATTTGCCCACACCTTTTAGTAATAATTGATTGCTTTTCCTTTTTCAAGCTTGTATTAATAAAAGATTACGAGCAGCAGGGGTCATGTTATGTTGAAAAAAAGATGATTTAAAAAAAAATTAAAGGAAAAAGTCAGTGGCCAATTAATGACCCACATACTCCTTCCACCCTGAAAAGAATAAAGCTTTTCAACACATCCAGGTGGTAGCCTTAGTAATCATCCTTTAGTGGTGTAAACCCAGTGCCCTATCAGTTTCTCTTAAATGCGCCTCAGGTAATAGGTATAGTTATAACCAAACACTCAGACAGGCAAGGCAAAAACCACTACAATGAAAACCATTTTAAGAAAATGGGGGTGGTAGAGGTGGCAGGCTTATTTACATAAGGCAATTGCTGATTAGAGATCTGACTGTTCCCTAGTACTTAGTCTTTCTTCTTCTCTCAGTAATACAGACTGTCTCTAGTGAGATAATCCTTCACTCTTCCCCCTACTGACTTCCTTGCCACATAATTTGCACTTTGCATGTCTTTCTTCCTGGAGGCACTCAAAATGATTCCAAACTTTGCTTTGCTACATTTGCCTGAACCCTTCACATTGTTTCTGCTGAAGACACAGATGGATGTGCATCAGTAGCAAGCAATGGTAGCTTTTGTCTGTCAGTCTATCTATCTATCTAAATCAAAGTTTGTGTAAGTGGCACCATGTCACAGACAGGAGCTAAGCACAGTCTCAATAGGATTATTAGGATAAATGATCCAGGCTATCTATATCCTGACTCAAAGTTGGTGTAAGTAGCACTGGCAGTAGCTAGGCAAGAGGAACTTTTTTTTTCCATATTTTCTATAAGCAAGTAACAAAAATGCTGTCATACTCTAAATCATTGAATTAAGTATGATTGGCAGTGGCTACTCTCCCAGCTGTAACCTGTAACTAACCACCGGCCTCACACTAGGATCAATTCAACTGTTATTAAACAGCATATAGAACTAACTCAAAGATTGTGTAAGTGGATATGTGTGACTATCTAACTTTAAATCAAAGTTTTTGTAAGTGGCACTGTGCCACTGGTAGGCACAGAGCACTGCAGTAACCTAACCAGTCCCACACATTAGGATTAATAACTTAGTCTAGACTGGTTTTCCTCTCCAGTTGCTCCTGTAACACCTCACCCCATTGTCAGTCATTACACTGGCTGTATCCTGTATACTGTAGGAGCCAAATCAAAGTACTACTCCACACCTATTAAGCACTGAAAAGCCCATTCTAGCACCTCTTATATCTCTTCACTGATTCTTAAGTATGCCCCTTCTCGGCCTCTCCACTCTACCCTTCTGTTGTCCACTACTCGCACCCTTACGGCCATCTCACTCTGGCTCCCATCAGCCTGAGCCACCACTGGACCATAGGGAAGTCACCCTCCTTCATCTAAAAAGTAGAAAACAGGAGGGTGACTAAAACATTTTGTATATGTGTCTGTATATGTGTATGTTTGTTTGTATGTATGTGTGTGTGTTTGTTTAAGTGTGTCTGTCTGTATGTGTGTGTGTGCGCGTGTGTGTGTGTGTTTGTATGTATCTATGTGTGTATGTCTGTGTGTGTGTGTTTCTATGTATGTGTCTGTATTTATGCATGTGTGTTTGTATCTATTTGTGTGTTTGTATGTAAGTGTGCCTGCATGTGTGTATGGGAGGGGGAGGAGAGATGTATGGGCGTCCCAAATGGCAATTTGTGCACCAGGGCCCCGTGGTTTCTAGTTACGCCTCTGACTGAGATCACAATACCACTAAACCATTCACTTCCAAAATTCCAAACCCCAAAATAAAGTATATGTACAGCAGCTTTCACCTTCCCTTCATTGGGCACTTCACTGTGAATAAAATTAACATTTAACAAGTATCCCCAACCATAAATCACCTTGTTCACTTCTTGATAGGACAGAAGATGCAGTCCATATCATTGGACAGACCTCTGGCCATCATGGGAAACTAAGACACTTATTGGCCTTCTCTTTTTGTTGGCACCACATGAAGAACACCTAATCTTGAAGCATCCAAGTATGTTTGGGCATCAATTTACCATTTGCTCAGTTTTACCTACGCATGGCGCTTCAGAGATCAAATATGACTGATCCAAATTTGGAAAAGTCTCAATTGGGACAAAATTAAATGGTCAAGCTTCCTTTTTGTATATTGTTCCTTAAGTTGTTTTCTATAGAATAGCCTGTCCATTCCTCATTTTGGAGGACAGTGCATCATGGATTATGCATGGCCTTTTATGCAATTAGAGAGTGTTTTTCTCAAAATAAACTTTCTTTTCCTGTAGCATCGTTTAATAAATCATGCTTTAAACATTGTTCTTATTAATAGTCAGTCAGTCATTTAACATTGCTGCAGATATCACTAAGAAAAGTGCTTTAGTACATTTTACTTTGAAATACTAGCCTGCCAATCCCTCCAGGGTAAAACTTGGACATTTCTGTTTTACAGAATATCAAATTCACAGATTACAAAAAATTAGGTGAGCTTGTCATTATAATTTAAAAGCTACATTTCATGCCATTGTATCTTTTCAGTTGTAATTTCAGCATTTTTACACAGAACACTTTTCACTCAATGACAGCAAAGGATAATGCAGACATCTATATTTAATGAAATATATATCCTACATCGTGAATTATTGGATGTTCCAAAAAGTTAAAAAATTTTTTTTAAAAACCTAACATTTCAATTGAATCAAGTTGATGTGATCTGTGATAATATCCGTTTCATTTTGCTTGCAGTTGTTGTCATGATATTCCAGCAAAGGTTAAAATATACAGCAAGCTTTTATATACCTTATAAAAATGCTGCCAACTCACTCTTAGGTTCTTTACAATGTATAAAATTGCTGTGACCTTGATCCACCTTTCTGAAAAGTTAGGCTGTAGTTTTAACTCTAGCAGAACTTCTTAAGTGCTGTTCTTAAAAAAAAAAAAAAAAAAAAGGTCTAGAAATATGTCAAACTATCATTTGAATTTAAATTAAATCAATCATGTTTTATCTGGTAGTTATAAAATATTACACGATAGTAAGTTATCTAGGAACATATAACAACCACTTTTTAAACCCCCAGCATGCCATACGTACAATGAGTATTAAACTGATAATAAATATGAGTAAATATAATAAGACAACATACGTTAATGTGATATATTTGAATTTAAATGGTATGTGATATATTTGAATACAAATGTGTATCAAAATGATTAACACTCAAAATTCAGAAAGTAATGCTTTCTTTTTGACTTTGACTTTTGACATCAATGAAGATCCGGTCCATGTCTTGAAACTTCATGTACATATGTTCCAGCTTTAACAGGCATTACGACATTGGAGGTCAGTACTGAAACGCATGCATCAGTATTTTCCTGACATCAAGGATCGTCATGTAGAAGCAAAGAAGTAGCCAGCACAATGGTTGTGTTATTCGAGTTACACATATGGAGATTTAATTCTAAAATACTTCTATCCTTTTGGATTTTGTGTTAGGGTTTCATTTGTGTTTAATAAATCTGCCTGTTTTTATGGAGAGCACTATGTTATGTTTTCATATATTAAACAGCACTTGGAATATTTTATCAACAGATTTTTGGGACTTTCAAAGGACGTTTATTACGTTTTAATGTTTCTAAACAACACATTTATCTACTCTGAGACTCTTTTTTATTAGCTAGCCAATGGGAATTCTATTTCTATGGGTTCCCCGTTACCTTTTAGTGTATATATTTTAGAAGTACAAAGTGGTTACTTAATTTAACCATGGGGCTTTTTATTTTATTTTATTTTAATTTTATCTGTTACATTTAATTTATGATTTCTCTTTTATTAATGATTTTTATTTGTATAACTTTTATTGCTATCATTTTATTAGTGTGGTATTCATTTTTTTTCATTTTTTAGCAAAGTATCCATTAGTTAACTTACCCCCTGAATTTAGCTGCTTTACTATTTACTCACCATCATCAATGTCACATAATAATCTCAATATAAAACTAAGGGATGGGGAAGTGGTCATGTTTCTCAATCCAGCATTAGCAGTAGTGCCATGGCTTCTGAGAGTTTGAACCAGCAGTAAAACTACCACCAGTGCAGCCGGTGCTGCAGCACCAAGGCCCTCAGGCTGCAGTAGCCTATTCGGTGGACCTCTCACTTAGGGCTAGCTTTTGGGCCACTCTCATCAGGGACTGGGTTGGGTGCAGTGGTCCTTTAACGGTGTGTTCAAGCTCCTAACATGGCAGAGCTGGAGGAAGTGTGTACAGGCTAACAGGGAGAGTTTCACAGACTAGGAGGGAACAGAAAGGGGAGAGCCCTCAACTTCCATTAGCCACAGCTAGCAGCCAGATCCACTGGACCACAGGAGAACTACTGTCCTGCATCCAAAATGTATGGAAACAAGATGGTGGCTGAAAATATGGAACTTCTAACTTCTGTATATGTGTGTCAGTGTTTATGTGTATGTGTACATATGTTTGTGTATATCAGTGTTTTTGTGTAAATATGGTGTGTTTGACAAACCACCTTTAAAAATCCTGTCCTTTTTAACTAACTAACTAACTAACTAACTAACATAAAGTAAAATGCTGGATGACTGTATAACACAACAAAGGATGTTGTGCAATGTGCTTGGTTCAACAAAGGCTCAAAAAATCTTCACAAGTATTGCGTGGGCAGGCACACCACCTACTACATGTAACCCGTCAACCATGCATTGTGAGAGATACAGGTATCTAATTGGATCTGAGGCTGGAAGGTTTATTGCCCAGAGGCATGCTCAGGCTCTAGGCTGACAAGAGAGATAGGCTGGCAAAAAAAGGAAACGTAAATTGAGCCTACAATGGAATTGTAGGGTGCCTTACACTCTCATTCCAACATGAGGCAATATAATAGGAGGGAGTGATCCAGTGTGGGGGAAATAGCTCCATTTAACTAGAGATCCAAAGGCCTTCGTGTGTCTTCTTGTTGGACTGTTTATTTAAATCTTCCCAACATAACCCAGATGTAGATCCTCCTTCTATGCTAGCAACTGAGCCATGCTCTTGGAAAATGTAAGGATAATTTAAGTTAACAGCAAGAAATACTGTAAGTTTTAGCATTTAGCTTTTATATTATACCTGTAACTATAATTGTGTTCCCGATATTTTAACCCCTTCCTATTAAACTTTAAATTTAATAACTCTTTCTGGCTGATTGATTGTAAGCTCACATGGTTAATGTCACCCCACAGAAACTTGCTGTATTGCTCTTGGTGTATAGTATATTTTATATACTATATCAGAGGGTCTTATAGTATTTTATTTGACACCCGTATGAAATTTGGTTGGGTTCTGAGTAATTGGTTAATTTTGAGGAATCTAAGACACTCAGGCATATTAGGTTCTTGAAGATGGTAGCCAGGTAAATGATCCCCTGCGTTTCTGCGCCATCCTGGTTTAATAGGGAGCAGCAGAGATTTAGTAGTTCTTTAATAGTAGTTAATATTTTCCTGAAATATTTTGTGGACAGAATGTGGCAGAGTGTATATCTGCATTTGAGTTGCAGTCTATGTGTATTTATATGTAAAAAACAAAAATAGTAATGCACTCCACCTTCCTTGATGTACTTGCCCGGTGCTTATCAGCAAACAGATACAGCCAAAAGTACAAGATAGCACTCCAGGGACTTCCAAGTTGAATGAATAAAACTTAGCTTTTATTAGCTCAAAATAAAAATCAACGTTTCAGTCTGTATCACAGACTTTCATCAGGATGAAAGTCTGTGATACAGACTGAAACGTTGATTTTTATTTTGAGCTAATAAAAGCTAAGTTTTATTCATTCAACTTGGAAGTCCCTGGAGTGCTATCTTGTACTTTTGGCTGTATTTATATGTATGTAGAAGTATACACTATTAAGCCACAACATTACAACCACCTACCTAATATCATGTAGGGCATACTTATCCTGCCACCATCAGCTCTGATGCATTGAGGGATTGACTCCAGAAGACCTCTAAACATGTCCTGTGGTATTGTGATGGGCAATTGTACGATAATATACATTGCTAAATTGTAATTCTTAAACTAAACCATGTTTCTTTAATTAATAAGCTCTCTCCTTCTTTCATTGCATAACATGCTGCATAGTTCTAACTTACGCCATTTTGTCTTAGCTTAATACAATAACAAGAATGCATAAACATCTTCAAGGTCATATTGCGTAGTTCTAACTCACGCCATTTTGTCTTAGCTTAATACAATAAAAGAATGCATAAACATCATCAAGGCTATGCTACGTTATATTGACTTCTAATAAACATTTCCTTTTCATTTATGAACTGCATTAACCTTACACTGAATTAACCAATACATTACCAGTAGTAATTAGACATATTATATTACATATACACATGATGACCAATGCTGGACAGACACTTACTGACCAACTTTGAATGTGACAAATACTGAGAGATTACCTGTAATCAGGAAGGGTATATTATACTAATACTTTATTTGTATTGCAAGCATTTATTCATATAATTCTATATACTCTGCTTATGATATATTAATAAATTATTAAGTTTATATATCTGTATTCATTTATATTCAATAAACTATTTTATTAAGACAAAAGTAATTGCTTCCAATTCCTATTTTTATTGTATTCTCAATAATTTACATATTTTAAATAGAGAAACTCTATACCAACTATATAATATTTTAGCAAAGATATCTGTATGGTTAGCCCTGCTAAATTCTATGTTTTAAGACATTATAATGGTAAGTAGGGGTACTAGCGGTTTTGCAAGTTGCATGGTGGGAACTCCATAGTAAGGATTTGTTGTTTCAGCACATCCCACAGATGCTCAATCAGATTGAGATATGGGGAATTTGGAGTCCAAGGCAATAGTTTGAACTTTGCCATGCTCCTCAAAATATTCCTGAACAATTTTTACAGTGTAAAAATTGCCACTGCAATCAGAGAACACCTTTGCCATGAAGGGGTGTGTGTGATCTCCAATAATTTCTAGGTAGGTGAAAGTAACATTCACATGAATGCCAGGACTCAAGCTTTCCCTGAAGAACATTGCCCAGAGCGTAACACTGCCTCTGTCTTCCTTCCCATAGTTCTTGTGGGGAACATCAAAGCTTTGGTGAGGACTTGAGCACAGAGTACAAAATGAGTATCCACATGTCTGTTGATGTTGTTGGTGGTGACAATGATGAATCTGATCATAAGAATTCTGACCCCATTAGCATTGCAGAACATTTTTACTTGTGACCAAGGACTTCCGTGACAATGAGTATAATGGACCAGAGGAATTAAAATACAGGAGTTTGGAGAGGAAATGCATCATCAAGTTTTTTCTCAGTGGTAGCAGTTCATCTATATCTACTATAGAATCGCCTCACCCAACTTAGACAGTTGTGACATCAGCTGCACCTGCTACCACTGTCACATGTAGTCCATCTAATGTTATTCTTACCAACACCACTACCATTCTCCCCACCATCAACATCACCAGGACCAGCACCATCAAAATTTCCTTTAGCATTAATCAATCAAGTGCAGGTGTACAGGCGAGTGTTGCAACAGCTTCTGCTGCCACCAGTGCAAATCCACCTGCATCTTCAGCAGATGCAAGGTAAAGGGTGAGGGTAATGTATCACATCAGTGAAGGAAAGTTTAGGACTTTAAGTGCCTTCAAGAAGGCCAACTTGCAATGTACAAATTATGCCTCCAGGGGATGAGTAATGTGTCATTTAATAGTGCCAGATATGCAAAAACAGCACAAGTCTGTGTTACTGAGGAAAGAAAATAAATAAATAAATAAAATGGTTAATCATATTGGGTGAACAAATACATGTTAATAAATAAAATTACGTTTTACACACTAAAATGTGCCTCTGTTTAAGTTAGCAATAGAAAAGTTTCTTAAAGCAAAGTTTTGAAAATGAATTAACATTGAAACAAAACTTTCCATTCTTTTGTAAAAGTAAGAATGTTTCACTGCTGTCAATTGAACTTGTGTTTGATAAATCAGTTACCGAACTTGTTTTGCACATCTTTGACTTTGATGAATCGAATAAAGCATCCACCTCATAGACAAAGCAAACCAGCAGTTTATTAGTAACATTTCCTGTCTGCAACCCATACTATTAACTTCTTCTCCTCCATGCGTATGTTGTTTAAAAAAAAAAAAAAAAAAAACACCAAAAAACATTTATTTGAAAGCTGGGATGAAGATCTAACATTTAAACTTATGACAACATAACACTTTTGGGTTTATTCTACAACTGTCAAGTCATAGCAAACGGACAACTGATTGGCAAAATTGAGGCACAAAATATCCTTTTGAGATTTTATCCAGATCAGTTATTTTAGCCTCAATTGTTCATTTGAATTACAATCTACTACAAATTGGTATTTAGTGAATAATCCTGTTATATTTTTCAGGTAGCAATTAAGAATAAATAAATAAAAACAATGGTCAGCCATGGTTTAACACCTTCAGGACTGAGTCAATTGTACACGTTCTGATAAAAAAAAAATTTTTAAAAATTGAATTTGCGCTATAAGTGTTCAAATGTAATTCAGCTCTTTCATATTAAGTGCACCCACACTTATTATATATCATTTTATTCAGGAGAAACAGGGCTTTAATTTCTCATGAACTATTCATATATGAAACATAATTTATTATGAATAAAATAAAAAAACTGCGAGAAATTTTGATTTTTTTAAAACAATTTGTAGTTCCGCCTGACATTTTAGCTGTACATGTCATAGTAATGTTTGCTTTTACTGCAATAAAATGCACATATTTGAATTCAGCAAAGTCTCACGAGTACAACAGTACTCTCCCCCCTCCCCCCCCCCCTTTAACAGGTTTTAAGGTCTTTTGGAAAATGACAAGGTCAAATATAGCATATTCCATTTTTCCGTTTTTTTAACATTGACATTTGCCAGATTAGTAATGTTACTTTTGAGACCATGTGGTAGCCCAGTAATGAGAATTACCCCCATGATGGCATACCATTTGCAAAAGTACACAATCCAAGGTATTGCAAGTGGGGTATGTCCAGTCTTTTTTAGTAGCCACTTAGTCACAAACACTGGCCAAAGTTAGCATTCATAATTGTTTTTGTGTGAAGAAAAGCAAAAAACAAATATTTGGCAAGTGTTTGTGACTAAGTGGTTACTAAAAAAAGACTGGACATACTCCACTTGCAATACCTTGGTTTACCAAATTTTGCAAATGGTATGCCATCATGAGTATAATTCTCATTCCTGGGCTACCATACGGTCTCAAAGGCAACATTACCAAACTGGCAAATTTTAATGTGAAAAAAATGAAATGCATGCCTTATATTTGACTCTCTAACTGACAGCCCAGAGAGTACCCCTGCTGGCAGATCCACATCCAGCTATAGGGGGCCATGTGATCGCTCTTTGAGAGCGATCATGTGGCCCCCGGGGGGCTGATTTGCCGGGGGAGGGCTGCTTGGGCAGTCAGGTAGTCTTC